CCTATTACTCCATCAGTGAATTCCTGAATGACGATTTTTGATTTACTTGTTGTCTGAAAGTTACACATGTTTGTCTTTAGTACTATTAGTGTTTGTGACATTTTATTATATTTTGCTCAATGTAACAGTATTTGACGTGTACATTTATCCCAAGGATGGCTGATATGTAGCGGGTGCGAATAAATTATTTCGATTTTTTTTTGATAAAAATGAAAGTCATATGATTTGTTTTCTGTTTCAGACGTCCGGAATCGGCCAGCCCAGCCTCTACCATGCACTGGTTGTCATCTTCTTGGAATTCTTCGCGTGGGGTCTCCTGACCATGCCGCTCATATCAGTATTGAACAACACATTTCCGGACCACACGTTCCTCATGAACGGCCTGATCATGGGCATCAAGGGCATCCTCTCCTTCTTGAGCGCCCCCTTGGTCGGCGCCCTCTCCGACGTGTGTGGCAGAAAGCTGTTCCTCCTCATCACGGTGTTCTTCACGTGCATCCCCATTCCCCTAATGACAATAAATACTTTTTGGTTTTTCGCCATGATCAGTATTTCGGGCGTGTTCGCCGTGACTTTCAGTGTTGTTTTCGCCTACGTGGCCGACGTTACCGACGAGAAGGATAGATCGCTGGCTTACGGGTTGGTTAGCGGGACGTTCGCGGCCAGCATGGTCATTTCTCCGGCTTTGGGGGCGTATCTCATGGAAAGGTAAGTCATTTGAGTTGTCTGCAAGGTAGTCGGGTCGACGGAAATGAGCTCAATTGGTATATCAATCATGGACGAACTTGTTCCTTAAAATTATTCAAGGGGAAACTTTTCCTATGTTCTTTTATGTGTGCTTCAAATGCTCTTACGGTCTGACCTACAAAACATGACACATGATCTTCTGTCTGTAAATTTTTGATCTATTTGATACAGGAATATAACTACAATCTAGACGCCCCATGTTGGGCGCCAGATGTAAGGGTTCAATCTCAGGGTTTTTTGAAAAGGGGTTGCTGCTGATCCAATAAGGTGCGAAACAATCTATTTTCAGTTCGAGGGGGAGACAGAGTACTTATTTGGTTGTTGACTTAGTTCTAAAATAATTACAAATGTTTCAATAAAATAGTTAAAAGTAGTTAATAAAAACTTCACACACGTGTTACATCGTTTATAGTAATAAAAACCATTACCCACCTAAAATAATTACAGGCACGGGACTCGACGGTGAATCTTGTCCTTAAGGACCACAGTAAGGTAATTTAGAACGAAGTTCACTTTAAAGAGCAAACAAGAAGAATCTTCGAACAATCGAGCAAATATGGCGCATCAAAAACCGTTCTCACTCAGGTCTCTAGAGACGAAAAAGAATCTCGACAGTCGTTCATAAAAAACCTGACCCTGGAAATACTTTGCCAATGCAAAAAACGCGTCAAAATGAAATATTGGTTGCCTATCCCGGAGGGCATGAGNGATGACCCATACCAGCCTCTACTCTAGTCAAAGTCTCCATATATTATAATGGTCTCAAGATGTTCAATCATTTACCTGGCTATATTAAAATTTCAGAGGATAACTGTAAATTTTGGAAATCAGTAAAAAATATGTGTGTATACAATATGTATATATAGTTGTATGGTGGCTGAAGAAAATTTCATATGAATCATAGCAGTTATAGTTTTTCATTTTATCAATAGTATATACAAAAGGAAACGATTTCAACAAGAAAATGATCACCAACTTATTATATTTTATTTTTGTTCCTCAAAAAACTGTTGAGAAGTCCAATAACTTTTATATGATTATTCGAACCACAACAACTTTCTATGTGCTGTAAACTTTCTATATAAATTTTGATCTTCTTCAGCATCAAAATGTATGTATAGTTAGTTGGGATTTTATATGATTTCAGATGGTCCTTATCACTAGTGGTAGCGCTAGCGACTGCGGTAGCCATCTTGGACGTGTTTTTCATTCTGGTAGCAGTGCCTGAGAGCTTGCCCGAGAAAGTTAGAGTCTCGCCGATTAGCTGGGAACAGGCAGATCCATTTGCATCGCTGAGGAATGTAGGACAAGATCCGACGATTCTACTTCTGTGCATTGCTGTTTTTCTCTCTTATTTACCAGAAGCTGGCCAGTACAGCTGTCTCTTTGTTTATCTCAAGCTGGTGATGGGTTGGAGTGCCCCTATGGTGGCAGTCTTCGTTGGGTTGGTGGGTTTGCTGGCGGTTATCACACAACTTTGTCTAGGTATGTACATTTTGATGACATTTTCCATCTGAGAATTCTGGAACATATTCAACAATATTCAGTTCTGTCATTATATGTAATAATAATTAAGTCAGCACTTACTACTTAATTGAATAAACGTTCAAACTGATGTCCACCTGCGCTCTGCTAAACATTTGCAATTATTTATGTTCTATAAATTTTACTTGATCATCCAATGGTGTTTTCTTTCCCAATCCAAGGTTGATCTATATCAACAGCACAGTCATTTGAATTTATAACAGAATGGATGCAAATTTTCACAGCACTGGATTGGAAGAAGAGGCAACATCAAATGTCCTCCACAGATACCAGATTTGTTGCCCCTTGATATTTAAAAAAGTAAAATCTATAGCAACAACTAGCATTTTAAGAAGAAGTGTGAGAGAATTGTCAGCGAGTGCGGTCGAGCTTCAGAATGATAATTGTAATAATAATTATACTTTACCCCGAGGTAAGTATACGTCTCTCCGGCATCCAGGTGGTGTAGGATGCTTCCATCTAAGAGCTGCACATCCTCTCCACAGTCCCCGCATTGTTCTCTTTTGAGATGGACCATTGCACATTTGTCTATCCCAAATTTCATACCGATAGCATGCGTGTACTCTTCCACCACCCTCAAGGACTGATGGAGATTCTTCTCTGCAGAGGCATGAAGTTTAAGATCATCCATATAAAACAGATGGGTGACCTTGTGTTTCCGGTTTTCGGGGGTGCCACAGTTATACCCTCGAGTATTTTTGAGCGCAATGGATAATGGCAATAGTGAGATGCAGAAGAGAAGGGGACTGAGGGAATCACCCTGAAATACACCTCTTCTGAAAGTGACACACCCTGTTTGGACTCTTGCTTGACCAGATGTTATGGTGAAGCAAGTTCGCCAAAGTGATATCAGTTGTTCAATGCGTCTCACCATGTTGTCGGGTACCGCAAGGCATCTGAGCAAATGCAAGATGAGGTCATGCAAAATTGTATCAAATGCCTTACGGTAATCGATCCAGGCCATAGAGAGGTTACGCTTATATTGTATCGAGTTCAGCGTTACTGCGTTATTATTATTATGCTGCATTCACTGATTTACCAATATTAACAAAATAGTCTTTATTTTTTATTGTTTCAGGGGTTCTCATAAAGAATTTGGGTTCAAAACACACCATTATGTTGGGTCTTCTTTTCGAAATGCTCCAACTATTGTGGTACGGGTTTGGCACAACAACGTGGATGATGTGGGGTGCCGGTATTCTTGCCTCAATGAGCTCAATAACTTATCCTGCCATTTCTGCATTCGTTTCGGTTCACAGCACAGCTGACAGGCAGGGTGTTGTTCAAGGTAAGTAGTTTTCGGCTCAATAATATTTATAATGTTGTCTCTTCAGAGTAGTCTTTCTTTGTGGGCACTGGAGGCCTATAGGGGGGTAGTAAAGAGCACAGAGAAGATTGGGGGACGTTGAAGCGGTTTAGGGGGGCGATGGCTAATTTAAATTTTTTTTTGCTTTTAACACAAACTTTACCGCTCCTTTAAGCTTAACGCACGTTTCCTCGTGTAACGCCATCTAGGGGACTAGACAGTAACTATTTCCTGTCCGATAGTTGTCAAACTGTACAATAGATGGCGGTAAGTTCAATGCGAAGCAAGAAGTTTCTAATCTCCATTCACGAAAGTACTAGGCCCGCCCGCTGCCTCATATAAAAGCGCGCGTGCCATCCAGCCAGTAATGTCATTCGACGATATTACGAAAACAAGTAAATTTATTTAGTGACTAGCTAGGTAAAGTGCTGTACGTGCGGTGGTGAATACTGTGAGTGGTGTCATTAGCAAGTTTTTAATATTCGATTCTTTACTTCGGCATTTTTAAAGACAAAATTATGTCGGAAGCAAAAAAGAAGTAACGGCAGTATAGCGCTGAATATATAAAATATGGATTTATTGAAAATCCCACAAATCCATCTTCGCCTATGTGCCTTCTTTGTCAAAAAACATTTTTGAATGAAGCGATGAAACCGTCAAGGCTACAAGGCTCAAACAGGTAAACCTCACACTATTGGGGAGGATTTAATTTTACCGGCAATAAAAGAAGTAATAAACCAAATTGCTCTTATACAAGAATAATATTGGCAGACGTGAGTTTCGCAATTTCCCTAATTTGTCAGCAGTATCCTTCAACAATGACGACTTTCTTGTTTACTGCCAACATTTGTAGAACCTCCACAGTGATTTCGCAGAACGATTGATTCCAGGACATTTTAGAATTGGAAATACCGGACTGGGTGTTGGGTCCTTTTTCAAATGTCATCATAGCAGGATCACCTCAGCTGGAAGAAGAACTCATAGAACTGATAACGAACGAGGAAATAAAAAAAAAATTCAAAAATGGATACAAAAATGGATACCAAAAAGCCAATTCTGCAATTTGTACCCTGAATTGTGATCCATCGTTTAACGATTTTTGATAACATTCCCATCATCGTATTTGTGTGAACGTGAATTTAGTGCTGTGGCAACGTTGCAGATTACCCAACGCGGTGACTTACGGCTGTTTTTGAGTAAATTCGACCCTGATATTAAGAAACTTGTTAAAAATCATCAAATCCATCCTTCATATCAAATTAGTTTTAACATCAAAATTGAAATGTTTCTTTTAATAACATGAATAAAAGTTTTCCTAATATTACAAAATGGTGTTTTGAATTACCCTCATCAGAAAGTCTTAATTTCACATGACGCACATAATTTAATTATTAAAATAATGGCTGCGATTGTTATTTTTAAGATGTAGTGAAGTAAAAAAATTTGGGGGGCGCTAAAAAATAATTAATTCTCGAAGTGGGCGGTAGACAAAATAAGTTTGAGAACCTCTGCTTCAGAGAATGGTAGGGGGAAATCTTTTTGATAATATGTTACTTCTTGTATAGTTTCGTTTGGTGGAATTTCATCATAACTTATGTTTTCCAAGGTATGGTGACTGGAATGAGAGGGCTTTGCAATGGATTGGGTCCTGCTATGTATGGCATCATATTTTATATTTTCCATGTTGATTTGAATGCGGATAATGATCAAAATCCAACACATTCCACGCCAACTTTTGATACTTACGCGCAGGTAAGGACTTATTTTTTTCTTGAATACAATTTATTTATATTTCTTTGTAAATGTGAAATATTCTTTATACAACAGGTATCGTTTTTGATAATTGTTTCCTTTTCGCGATATCAATGGAAAAACTTCAGCAGTATTACAAATGCTAGCACCTGTGAAATTCAAAGATAGAACTTGAGCCCATTGTTCTCACTATTATTCGTTGATTAATGAAATTTACATAGTCGTGATACATTAGATGGACAAATAAAGTAACACAAATATACTTTCTAAACAACTTGTAAGATTGTTATCAATATTAATAATAGAGGAGAGATACATACATATATTGTACATGTACATATCTATGTACACGTACATATCTATGTACATGTACATATACATCTATGATGGTCTAAATTATAAGTAGAGTTCATCTGTTCTAAGTAGGGTTCAACTGTTCTAGGTAGAGTTCATCTGTTTCTAAGTAGGGTTTATCTGTTCTAAGTAGGTTTATCCATTCTAGGCAGGGTTTATCTATTCTAAGTAGGGTTCATCTGTTCTAAGTAGGGTTCAACTGTTCTAGGTAGGTTTATCTGTTTCTAAGTAGGGTTTATCTGTTTCTAAGTAGGGTTTATCTGTCAGATCCATCTACATATAAAATCTTTGTTACCCAAAAAAGAGATGTTGGAGGTGCTTGTATGATTTTGACAGTACAAATAATTTTTTGGATATAATTTCATTTGTTGTTGTATTTATTTATTAACTAGGCAAGCCTAATATACAAAAAAAAGAAAAATTACAAATTCATAAATATCTCACGACATTAACTATGTAAATATAATAACATTTTAAAGTACCTTTCAAGGAAAACCAAATATACATACATATCTATAGATTGTTAGGTTAGTTCACATTAAAAAATAAAAAATTACAAATATCATAATGAGCTGTCACTAATATACTTCTTTAATGATGACTTAAATTGGTTTATTGAATTAGATTCTTTTACAAATTGTGGTAGTTTATTAAATTCGTTTAAGCCTTTATGAAATATACTATTCATTCCAAATTTAGTGTTAGTTTTATTAATGTAAAAATTGTTATTTCTTCTCGTATTGTAATCATGAACTTCATTATTTCTCAATAAGAATTTTTGAAAGTAATTGGGTAGCAATCCTTTATGCAGCTTAAATATAAAGATCATAGTCATATATAATATACGTTCTTCAACTGAAAACCAGTTTAGACACTGTAACATAGATTTAATTGCTGAGTAACGGCTACATCCCAATATTAA